GGATCTGTTACTACTGATGGGACCAGAAGACCATGTGACACATAAAGTTTCTATTGAATTTCTCTCAATGGAACTGTTGACATAGACGTTAAAGTTGCCAGCGACATTATCCACTTGAGCCTTAGAAAGGAATTGAGAAAAAACCTGTTGCTACACAATTGGACGACAAAACAAAATTGTTTGCGCTTTTGATGTGAATTGTGAGAGACCCTAATCAAATCACAATTAATAAAATCCAAGAAACCCGCAATTTCTTTCATAAAAGGAAACCTGTGAGTTGAAACAAAGGAGTTTTCCATATTCAATAAACCTACTTACAAAGAAAGAAGTCTGGGTAACACTTATTCTAAAGCCCTATGACAATTAAGATAATGAGTACAGAAAAAGGCAAAAAGAATTGAGACATACAAAGTTCAAACTATTTCCTCGAACAACGAATTTGCATCTGCCAGACTGGAACTAGTTGTAGTATGATAGGATAGAACCATATGCATCACTCCCTTCAACTAAATGATGCAATCAACTGTTCTGGCCTACTAGCAAATAATAGTTACACCACTACTAAATGTATGCCTAGCTAGTCTTGCCCAGTGTATTCTTTTGGCTTTTTTCTTGTACTCTTTAATTATTTCCATGCATCTTTTTTCTTTTTCTTTTTTAGAGTTAGGGAGGAGGAATTAGGAAGCAGGGAGATTGAGGTGTGTGGGGGCAGGGAGGGAGAATTAAACCTACCGTGTCTAATTTTTGAAGTTTCTATGTTAGTCACTGAACTAAAACTTCTTTGACCATATTATTAATTTTAAGATAAATTTAAATTCGCCCTAGATCAAAAGCTTGAAATATTCTACAAAAGTAGTGCCAGAAGGAAATACTGGATGCCAAAGTGCTTATACCAAACATCATTGCAACTACGAATTTACTGGTACATATAACTCAAATTTATACATATGCACTATCAGAAACAAATGATCCACAACATCCGACAACAACTGAAAGATACTTTTAAACCCCAAAATGAAAAATGGACGGACCAACGGCATATCCTTGACATAGAAAACTACCAAAAACTACTTCAGCTGCTCAGCAATTTTTTTTTTGCATAGTCAGTGACCTAATTCTCAGGTTACATTAGAAAAAACAAATGGTAAGATAGAAGATTCAACGATTATTTTTTTTATTCGAAATACATAGCAAAGGGAAATGCGGGACTTGCGGGGAGGTTTAACCAGAAAATATTAAAGGACGCCAACCAATACTTAGCCAGGTCTTGAGTGATTTTTTATGGCATTGAAAAATATGGCCAAGTTTTAAATAAATAGCAGTAGTTTCTGTACTCAAACATCCAACTCTCGTTTTTAGTTAGCAAAAGATGGCGGCTGCCGGCTTCTTGGTGACTCTTGCTATTTTTTTGGTTTCATCATCATCAATTTCGAATGCTTTTGATAACGATCCTTTACAGGATTTCTGCGTTGCTGTGCCGGATGCATCAGCAGCTGGTAAGTCCAATTCCATACTACAATTCTGGGAAGTGCACCTTTCTGGTCTGCCACTGTAAGTCACCAAAATGCTCAGGTTGAGGAAAATCTGTATTTTAGCACCTGATGCCTTAACAATTTTCAAAAACATTCGGATTGAATCATGTCAAGTTGATGGCACAAGCATATTATCCAAACCCACTAATTTGCAAAAATTTTGTAAGACGTGTCCCTGTTTTAGTGATTTGATTACAATTGTCATAAAATTATGAAGTAAACAAGCTTACTCCAATTACTTTAACTTGTATACCAAAAACTGTTCAGGGCTTCGAGTTAGCAGAGGTTTCTTTATGCTTTTCATATGAAGTGCTTCGTTCGTATTTCCTAATCAGAATCGAAATCGGAGTTGAAGTCATAAATTCTATAGGCATGGATTTTGATCCTTTGTCGTTGCATATTTGGTTTGGAACTCTGATGAATTTCATTTTGTTGAAGAGTTAATCAATTTGAAATTCACGTTGGGAAGGATTGAATTGGATGATAAAATAAAAGGGATTGTAAATAGAAAGTTCTGAATTTATAACCTCTCACTTGCCCCAAAAAAATGAAAAAAATAGAAATTCAGGTTATAAGTGGAGAATAATAATAAAGGGCGAGATTTAATATCTTTGTTCTCATTGAACGATTCCTATACTAGTCTCATAAACAATAGGTATTGAAATCATTAATTTTGATGCTTATTTCTTCCTCTCCTAGCCACTTAACGAACACCCACTTGAGCCACTTGATGAATACATAATTTTTAGCGTTGAATGTCACCGAAATTACCCATTAAAAAATAATCCTATCTTTCTCACCCCAAACTTTCATATATAAATTTATTTTCTACTGCATGTAATTATGTGCTATTTAGAATCAAACTCATTTAAGCATCATAACGAATCAGAATTAAAAAAAAAAAAAAAAAGATTCCCTGTGTTTCGACATCGGAAGCCAAATTAGGCAATGAGGACTACCAACAACGGCCGGCTACTTGCTGCACTACGCCATATTGTAGCAATTTCCCCAAAATGCATATCGCTTAATTCTTGAATATCAACACTCTGTGACGTATACTCAAAAGACAATCTGCATTCATAAATTGTTGGCTCTTGTGCTCTTATTGCAATCAATTTACTCCACAGAGAAAGGCAGGCCTGTCAATCGAAAGCAGAGTCGGGCTTTGGAACTTTAGCCTTTGAGCTCATTTTGTGAGGCCCAACCTCTGCTCACACGGATATTGATGCTTTAGGCCCCACACACACACACACAGAGACACATATATATATATATATGGTTTGAGCAGAAGAATGTTAATGACACTAGATCCAACTAGGCTTAGCAAAATCAAGCTCAACCCAGAATCGAATCTCTACTAGGCATAGTAACACATGTGATTTTGGACCAATTCTTTTGGGATAAATTGAGACCCATTGACTGTCCTTCACAAGGAGAGAAAACCCTTTGATACATGTACCCAATATAGTCCAAAATTTGGGTACATTAGATTTTAAAAAAATCAATAGTTAAAGTATGTCACAGCATTTGGTTTAGCACAATTTAGATCATTAAATTTTTTAAAATCGAATAAGCCTTAATGTAGTATTTGACCATGCAGAGTATTAACACTTTGAACCAAATAGCAAGCATTAAACTTGGCATAACCCAGCCATGTTTGCAATTATTTAACAAAAACAAGTAATATGCCAGCTCTTCCTTTTTGTTTCCATTTTTTCATGGTGGCATATTCCACTCTGTTTCCTGTTTTCATGGTTATGTGTGTATTGGATAACAAGCGAATTTGGGGTAAATTTCACATGAATTATTTATCTTGATCCTTATGCAGTTTTTGTGAATGGAAAGATCTGCAAGAACCCAAAACTGGTAACAACTGACGATTTCGTGGCTAGTGGTTTTAACACACGAAATTGGTTTTGATTACTTTGCCTATTCAATCAATTGCCTTTTGTACCAGATGAGATCGTCAAGAATTTAAGTAAACCATGGATACTTTGAAACAGATTTAAGTTGCACCTAATTGTGAAGACAATGCATCTAAGAATGGTGCCACTACTTGTGACATTTTTCAACTTTTCTTCTATACCTTGTTGCACCAAATTCATGCCAACAACAAAAAATTTATTGGAGATTCGGTGCATGGCCATCCTTCTTTCATTATTTAAGAAAGAAAAAGAAGGATCTGTTACTACTGATGGGACCAGAAGACCATGTGACACATAAAGTTTCTATTGAATTTCTCTCAATGGAACTGTTGACATAGACGTTAAAGTTGCCAGCGACATTATCCACTTGAGCCTTAGAAAGGAATTGAGAAAAAACCTGTTGCTACACAATTGGACGACAAAACAAAATTGTTTGCGCTTTTGATGTGAATTGTGAGAGACCCTAATCAAATCACAATTAATAAAATCCAAGAAACCCGCAATTTCTTTCATAAAAGGAAACCTGTGAGTTGAAACAAAGGAGTTTTCCATATTCAATAAACCTACTTACAAAGAAAGAAGTCTGGGTAACACTTATTCTAAAGCCCTATGACAATTAAGATAATGAGTACAGAAAAAGGCAAAAGAATTGAGACATACAAAGTTCAAACTATTTCCTCGAACAACGAATTTGCATCTGCCAGACTGGAACTAGTTGTAGTATGATAGGATAGAACCATATGCATCACTCCCTTCAACTAAATGATGCAATCAACTGTTCTGGCCTACTAGCAAATAATAGTTACACCACTACTAAATGTATGCCTAGCTAGTCTTGCCCAGTGTATTCTTTTGGCTTTTTTCTTGTACTCTTTAATTATTTCCATGCATCTTTTTCTTTTTCTTTTTTAGAGTTAGGGAGGAGGAATTAGGAAGCAGGGAGATTGAGGTGTGTGGGGCAGGGAGGGAGAATTAAACCTACCGTGTCTAATTTTTGAAGTTTCTATGTTAGTCACTGAACTAAAACTTCTTTGACCATATTATTAATTTTAAGATAAATTTAAATTCGCCCTAGATCAAAAGCTTGAAATATTCTACAAAAGTAGTGCCAGAAGGAAATACTGGATGCCAAAGTGCTTATACCAAACATCATTGCAACTACGAATTTACTGGTACATATAACTCAAATTTATACATATGCACTATCAGAAACAAATGATCCACAACATCCGACAACAACTGAAAGATACTTTTAAACCCCAAAATGAAAAATGGACGGACCAACGGCATATCCTTGACATAGAAAACTACCAAAAACTACTTCAGCTGCTCAGCAATTTTTTTTTGCATAGTCAGTGACCTAATTCTCAGGTTACATTAGAAAAAACAAATGGTAAGATAGAAGATTCAACGATTATTTTTTTTATTCGAAATACATAGCAAAGGGAAATGCGGGACTTGCGGGAGGTTTAACCAGAAAATATTAAAGGACGCCAACCAATACTTAGCCAGGTCTTGAGTGATTTTTTATGGCATTGAAAAATATGGCCAAGTTTTAAATAAATAGCAGTAGTTTCTGTACTCAAACATCCAACTCTCGTTTTTAGTTAGCAAAAGATGGCGGCTGCCGGCTTCTTGGTGACTCTTGCTATTTTTTTGGTTTCATCATCATCAATTTCGAATGCTTTTGATAACGATCCTTTACAGGATTTCTGCGTTGCTGTGCCGGATGCATCAGCAGCTGGTAAGTCCAATTCCATACTACAATTCTGGGAAGTGCACCTTTCTGGTCTGCCACTGTAAGTCACCAAAATGCTCAGGTTGAGGAAAATCTGTATTTTAGCACCTGATGCCTTAACAATTTTCAAAAACATTCGGATTGAATCATGTCAAGTTGATGGCACAAGCATATTATCCAAACCCACTAATTTGCAAAAATTTTGTAAGACGTGTCCCTGTTTTAGTGATTTGATTACAATTGTCATAAAATTATGAAGTAAACAAGCTTACTCCAATTACTTTAACTTGTATACCAAAAACTGTTCAGGGCTTCGAGTTAGCAGAGGTTTCTTTATGCTTTTCATATGAAGTGCTTCGTTCGTATTTCCTAATCAGAATCGAAATCGGAGTTGAAGTCATAAATTCTATAGGCATGGATTTTGATCCTTTGTCGTTGCATATTTGGTTTGGAACTCTGATGAATTTCATTTTGTTGAAGAGTTAATCAATTTGAAATTCACGTTGGGAAGGATTGAATTGGATGATAAAATAAAAGGGATTGTAAATAGAAAGTTCTGAATTTATAACCTCTCACTTGCCCCAAAAAAATGAAAAAAATAGAAATTCAGGTTATAAGTGGAGAATAATAATAAAGGGCGAGATTTAATATCTTTGTTCTCATTGAACGATTCCTATACTAGTCTCATAAACAATAGGTATTGAAATCATTAATTTTGATGCTTATTTCTTCCTCTCCTAGCCACTTAACGAACACCCACTTGAGCCACTTGATGAATACATAATTTTTAGCGTTGAATGTCACCGAAATTACCCATTAAAAAATAATCCTATCTTTCTCACCCCAAACTTTCATATATAAATTTATTTTCTACTGCATGTAATTATGTGCTATTTAGAATCAAACTCATTTAAGCATCATAACGAATCAGAAAAAAAAAAAAAAAAAAAGATTCCCTGTGTTTCGACATCGGAAGCCAAATTAGGCAATGAGGACTACCAACAACGGCCGGCTACTTGCTGCACTACGCCATATTGTAGCAATTTCCCCAAAATGCATATCGCTTAATTCTTGAATATCAACACTCTGTGACGTATACTCAAAAGACAATCTGCATTCATAAATTGTTGGCTCTTGTGCTCTTATTGCAATCAATTTACTCCACAGAGAAAGGCAGGCCTGTCAATCGAAAGCAGAGTCGGGCTTTGGAACTTTAGCCTTTGAGCTCATTTTGTGAGGCCCAACCTCTGCTCACACGGATATTGATGCTTTAGGCCCCACACACACACACACAGAGACACATATATATATATATATGGTTTGAGCAGAATGTTAATGACACTAGATCCAACTAGGCTTAGCAAAATCAAGCTCAACCCAGAATCGAATCTCTACTAGGCATAGTAACACATGTGATTTTGGACCAATTCTTTTGGGATAAATTGAGACCCATTGACTGTCCTTCACAAGGAGAGAAAACCCTTTGATACATGTACCCAATATAGTCCAAAATTTGGGTACATTAGATTTTAAAAAATCAATAGTTAAAGTATGTCACAGCATTTGGTTTAGCACAATTTAGATCATTAAATTTTTTAAAATCGAATAAGCCTTAATGTAGTATTTGACCATGCAGAGTATTAACACTTTGAACCAAATAGCAAGCATTAAACTTGGCATAACCCAGCCATGTTTGCAATTATTTAACAAAAACAAGTAATATGCCAGCTCTTCCTTTTTGTTTCCATTTTTTCATGGTGGCATATTCCACTCTGTTTCCTGTTTTCATGGTTATGTGTGTATTGGATAACAAGCGAATTTGGGGTAAATTTCACATGAATTATTTATCTGATCCTTATGCAGTTTTTGTGAATGGAAAGATCTGCAAGAACCCAAAACTGGTAACAACTGACGATTTCGTGGCTAGTGGTTTTAACACTCCGGCGAGTACCAACAATTCCTTGGGATTTGGGTAAAAGTGGCTGATGTTAATCTAATACCGGCCTTAACACTCTTGGTCTAACTGTACTTCGTGTTGACTTTGAGCCAGATGGTGTCGTACCTCCTCACACGCATCCTCGTGCTACTGAGGCCATTGTGGTGTTGGAGGGTACAATCTATGCTGGTTTTGTCACCTCCAATCCAACTGATAACACGAAAAATAACGTTGTTCGCTAAGATTTTGAAGCCTGGAGATGTCTTTGTCTTCCAATTGGCCTAGTTCATTTTCAACGAAATGTGGGGAAAACAAAGGGTATGGCAATTGTGGCTTTTAATAGCCAGAATCCTGGTGTCATCACAATCGGAAACGCAGTTTTTGGGTCAGAGCCGCACATTGCCCCTGAAGTCCTCACTAAATCATTTCAGGTAGACGAGAAAGTAATTGAGAGTACCTCGAGTCAAAGTTCTAATGGAGCCTTTTTTTTGTTGTCGTATCTAGTCAACTCTTTCCCTATTTAAATTTAGATTGATGTTGAATGTTGGATGTCTATTTTTGCAAAGTTTGCTACAGCAAACTTTTTTCTAGATTACTTGTTTTTGGTGTTTTCTTTGATTGGACAAATCAGTGTAACAATTAGAGTATACAATAATGTGTGTTTTAACAGATTTTCTAGGGCATTTTCTTTGATAACATTTAGGGTCCGTAAGGACAGATAGATTTAGATGCCTTGTTCAATTGATCATTACAATATCTTATAATTTAAAGTTAACAAAAAGACTACGGTAAAATTTGAAAAACTAAAACTTCAGTGGTTGAAATATTAAATTGCATAATTTTCCTCCTCAATCACTGTAATAATACAAATATCTGCTATCAAGTTGGGGTCGCCATACACATTCAACACACAAACCAAAATCAAATACCAATATGGTGATTTTATTCTCACTTATTAGTGTTTGCCGTGACTTAGGTGTCATTTTGGCTTATGAGCGCTCACCTTACAAACACTCTGGGGCTACATGCCTATTTGCAAACAAGATAACAATTACTTGGATACTAGGCGTGACATAGGTGTCATTTTGGCTACATGCCTATGATATCAAATTTTGCCATAAAACTTTGTAAGGATACTAGGCGGGAGGGTGGCTTCCCCTTATGGCTGCTCAATGTAGCTAAGGATGATCTAAGAGCAGTTGCCCTCTCCGTGTAATTGTCTACTCTGTTATGATTTTAATACAATGTTGCCGTTTGAACCAAAAAAACAAACTAATTATTCAGGCCTAATGATGTCCAAAGTCAGCTCACACTTCATTCGAGCTCACATTTAGGCTAAGTATTAGCTAACCAAATAATACATAGGCTCAACCTGTTCGGGTTTGGATTGATATCTAAACAAACAAATTTGAACGAGTCAAGTTCAAATCGAGTATCGAATTATTTGGTTTCAATTTACAGCCTAATTGTAGAAGATTAAGGGGTATTTGATAAAATTGGAGTTTGAAAACTGAAATCTAAAATTGAATCCATTAAATTATTAAATTATTAAGTATTAAATATAATACATTTGAGTAATATCACATTCAGTGATAAATGAATAGTTTATCATTTATTTTTGGGAGTAATTTTTGCGTAAGATATTTGTGTCACTTAATTAATTCAGATGTTCAATTTTCGGTTATCAAACGTATCTGAACATGTTAAGATGTGAATTTATTAATTTTAAGTGCTGAATTGAGTTATCAATAGCGTGTAAGTTGCCTTAATTTGGTGATGCACAGGGGCATCTAGAAGGTCAAAGTGAAATTAACCAAATATTTGTCTCTTAATATAGAAAATTAAGTTGCCTTAATTTGGTGATCCGCATGGGCAAGGAAATCACGGTCAAATTTGCTTCTGAAGAAAAAAGAGGAGTTGCCTTGTTAATTTGCAAGGGTTTTTCTCTCCATTAATTCCGACTTCCGTTTCAGTTGCTGCACGCAATGCTATAAAACCAACTCTAATATATTAAGTAGCAGACACAAGACATAAAATTACAGACACTTGTTAAAGCAGAAAAGAAGACGACTGAAGAAAAGAGCGGAGTTTGCCCAACTGGCACGGATATTTCGGCTGCCGACGGCCCAGAGCCAGAATGGGTGCTTCCTGTTGCCGGTACTCCGTTGTGGCATGTCTCATCGGGCTCGTTGGGCACTTGTTGCCCTTTCCTAGCATATATAAGTTTTCCCTTGGATCTACTTTGTTCTGATATTCTACTACTACAAAGGGCCTGCTTGATTTGGATTTGGTGATATATTTATTTTGTTGTTTCTTATTTTCTGGGATGTATGTCACGACCCCGTTTTGGGCCATGTAGACTCTGCATTATTCAACCCGAACATGATTTCAATCCAACCCAGCCCATGAATACTTCTAGCTGCAATATATCTATACCATGGTTCTTCTCCCGGTATGCAACTTAGACGGGTATTGATGGTTTGATATTGGCTTCAACTTTTCTGAACTAAATAAAAATTGTTTCAATCCAAAGGTCAAAACAGATTTAAGCATATATATGTTAACCCAAAATTGAACAGCTTTGGCAGATGATACCATTTAACAAATTGAACACAAAATTAGACTAAGTGAGAAATCAAAACTAAAGGTAAATTTTCAGAAACCTAAGGAGCATAAGAGCCGAGAGTAGCAAGTGTAGTTTGGTTTGAAGCCCAAATCCACTAGCCAAAGTTGTCATTCCCTTATGATTTTGGGACTCGATTGATAAGTGAGTAATTTTTTTTGCATTCTATAGTGTAAGAACTCCAACAAAAGTGAACTTTCTTTCTTTCACAAGAGCTAAATTTCAAACAACTTTTCATGAATGATGTGGAGCATCGAACCACAAGTTGGGGGTCTGATAGGTTAGCTCAATAAGGGAGTCCAGGAAGTCATTTTGGGACTTTAATTTGGATAGCCATCTTAGTTTTATTTTAATTAATTTTCTTTGTTGTTAATTTTTGTTCTTAGTGGTTTTTGTATCAACGAGGGAACATGTGAAGAAAAGTTGAAGAAAAGAAGTTCGGAAGTGCACCAAGAAAGAATGGTTTAAATACATTTTGCCCCTAATAATTAGTGTCCGTATTATACCTTCCTCCGTGTTCACGAAACTAAGTTGCCCCTGATGATAATAGTCTAATGTGCTTGTATAGCAAAACAATAATTATGCCCTCGTTGTTAAAATATTGTTCAATGATCATTTGCCTTTTTCTCTGTCTTCTTGTTGTTTTCCTTATTATTGTCTATATTTCTTTCCTACTACAAAATATAAACTTTTTAATAATGTACTAAAGAATATCTTATGAAAAATTTAATTATCATAAGAAATTAAAAAATATATATTTATTTTATGTCTCCTATTTTATTAACAAATTCTTATTGTGCATTAACTGTTACTAAAAATAATTAATATCTAGTAAGTAAATGTTTTACTTCTATTTTCACTTTTTCTTCATCTACTTTTCTACTTTATGCTTATTAAACCTTATCTGACACTTAATCATATGCAGTTATTTTTTTGTTGAATATTTAATATAATAAATTATTGCAAGAAAGTAAAATGTGTATGGCAAGTAATGGTACTTTATGTGATTTCTATTTTTTATTAACAATGAGTACATGATAAACATCTAATTAATAAGTAATGAATACTAGTTTATCATCAACATTTTATCAATAATTAATACACAACAAGAAACTGTTAAAGAAAAATAGAAACTACTTCAGATTTTTTAATTAAATATACACTTTCTCATTTTGCATAATAATTTGTCATTGTTAAATATTTTAGATAACTAAATAACGATACATATATTTACCCATCAAAAGAAATTATTTACAAGAAAATAACAGAATATGTTAAACCACAAAAAATAATTTCTTTAATATATTATTCTTAAAATTTATATATCATAGTCGATATGAAGGATAAAGAAATCTATATATAATAGGAAAAATAATAGAGAAAAAGAGAAAAGAAAAATGATCATCTAACAATGTCTAATACTAAGAGCATAATGATCTTATTAAGTCAATAAAGGCATAATTGTCTTTTTGCTAGAAACATACATTTGCTTATAGTCAATGGAGGTAATTTGTAGGCTCACAAACATTTGGGTAGATCGGGTTTATGTAGATCATATAATCCAAATTTTGTCGCACCGTCTCATAATCCAAAAATTGAATATGTGGCAAAATTTGAGATACATGGATTACAAGATCGGATCTATCCAAGTTTTTGCTAGATTTTATAGGTTTTGTGAATATGGGGGTAATTTACTACTTCCAAATTACAATAGGGTAACACGGGGTTAAGCAAGAAAGAACTAGCAACTAATCCATTAAAGATCCTGTGTTGAATCATGCACGGATTGAGACAATGCGGGGCTCACAATTTCCAACAATTTCATGGCTAGGATTAAAAGCAATACATAAACGGATGAGATGAAGCCACACAACCAACTTAAATGAGACTCCAAAACTACGTCATTTTTGGGTTTAAAAAGAAGAATAAAATCTTTTAAAAACAAAGAACACTATTGCTGTAAAATCCCTTTACCTGATTTTCATTAAGCATATTAACAGCCCCCAGGTTTTTCAGATATAAATTAATAATAGGCCAAAAATTGAAGTTCGAAATTCATAAGAAATCTCTTTCCTTCTCCTTCCTCCTCTCTATTGCAATATGTAAGAATGGAATTACAAATAACTGGGAGCAAGTTGTAAGAAGATTTATCTTATTGAATCCCTTTCAACCAAGGTCATGGAAGCCCCAAATGTTTTAAATTAGGGGCCAAAAGTTCAAGTTTGCACTTTGGAAAATATGTGTCTTCTTCTTCTCCTTCTTCTTCTTCCCCTCCCCTCTACCCTCACCCTGTCGAAGTGTGTAAGAATGGAAGAAAAAAGAACAAAAGAAAAACTTGGAGCAAGTTGTGAGAAAAATTTTATTCGTTGATTTGAATTTGAAAAAGTTGATGCATACCTAAACTTGATAAAGACTAATTTTCAACAAATTTCCGAAGTCAGAGCTAGAAAGTCCAACAATAGATCCCATTGTTCAAGTTAAAGTATTGAAATGTAGTCGTTATGCTCCATGTCTACACCCTTAAACATTAAGTTATTGAATGCAATTAGTGTAAATTGGATATAAGGAGTGAGGCACAGTCCCGTTCGTTTTGAATTTGAATTTCAATATAATATTATCATTCTAGTACTCAAATGCGCATGTACTTTTATTGAAAAATCGATGTATCATTCTACACAGCAAAAAGATGAAACTATCTAAGTAATCATGCTAAGGTTACTAATCTATTGATTACATCATTAAATCTATAGGTCACTAGAAAATTATCGTTCTATTGACATAAAATTTTACTCGTAAAGGTTTTAATTGTTTTATTAGTGACGTAAGATCATCTCACTTAAAGGTATTAGGAACATGTAGAGGCGGCAACCTGGATCAGAATCCATTTATCCATCCATTTGACCCTTAATTAAATGGATTTGGATTGCCGATTTTCAGTGGTGGTTTTAAATGGTTTGACCAATTAAATCCACTTAAGTTAATGGTTTTAAATGGATTATCCATATAAACCATATAAAACCAATTACTTCAAAAAAAA